AGAATGATTGTTGAACAATTGTACTTTCTGAAAATTCAGACAGATTTATTGTAAAGAACAGGACAATCAGTTTGTCCTCAGAAACATTCACACAAATAGTGCCATCTTAACTTCTAAGCAAACCTTTAACTTCCTGTCCATTTATACTTGATCAGTCTAACGTAAGTCAATGAAATTGCATGAGGTCATATTCTCATGTGTTGAGATACAAGAAAACGGAGCATAGCATAAAGAACAGTGGGCTGAAATTAGAGATGTATTGGATAATCAAAAACCAAAAAAAAAAAAAAAAAAAAAAAAAAAACCACAAAGCAAAGAACAGCACACCAAATTATAAACCTAGAGGAACCACAAAGTAGGAAAAAAAAAAATTGAATTTTAAGTGATTTGAAGCATATAATACTATTCAAAAGGTAATACTATAAATTCAGAAAAATCAAATGGGTTAGTTGCAAATGGGTAATGGAAGACTATGTGGTCATTAAGAACACTGCACGTCATGCTTAATCAATTGTGGTATGAATGCGGAGTATCAAAATTTCAGGGTCAGTTCCTGAATTAAAGTATATAAATCTGATTAAAAATATCATTAGGCTTTCTTTTCAATTTGCCTCTGGAGCATAAAAGACTTAATCATATATTAAGGGTATCTATGATTAACTGTGTTTTGAGATAAAAATAATAAAGGAAAATGTACTTTATTCTTAAACATTTGAAAGAATTAAGCTGTCTTGATTTTGCATAAGAGTGTGTTTAAGAGGATCAGTTTAAGATAAGAGGATCAGTTTAAGATAAGAGGATCAGTTTCCTTCATTCTTCTGCAACTTTTCTCCAAGGAATTGAAATTAATATATAATTTACAAATTATTTGGGATCTGCTAACATATCTAGCCTAAAAGAGAAGTGTTACCCTCAAAAATATTTTTAAAGCATGTTAGCTCTAGTTTCTGGTCTTTTCTTATGAGAACTGAAAGCTTAATGCATCTGAAAGTCTTATTTACAAACAACTACAGAGCAAATTGGTGGTTGCTGGGTGGGTGGTGGGGGGACTAGGGTAGATAAAATGAGTGAAGAGGGTCAAAAGTACAAACTTCCAGTTATAAAATAAATAAGTCATGGTGAAGTAATGTTCAGCATGGTGACTACAGTTAGTAATAATATATTTCATATTTGAAAGTTATTTAGAGAGTAAATCTTAAAAGTTCTCATCACATGCAAAAATATTTTCTAACTATCTATTGTTATGGATGTTAACTAGACTTACTGTGGTGATCACTTTGCAACATATACAAATATTTAATCATTATGTACCTGAAACTAATGAAATATGTCAATTGTACCTTAATAAAAATGAATGAATTAAACCAACTACAGAAGAGTATAGAAGACCAATTACCCAGGCAAGGCTTAACTCTAGAAATGTTATTTCCAAGCAAAAGGATAAAGATTCAGATTTAGGTTGGGCAATTTACAACCATACTACTGTTGCAGTGCACTTATTCACTGGAGAAGAAAAGGCATTCAAGCTTAGGACAACCTCATTCAAATGCTCAGCTTAAATCATAAGGATAGCAAAGGAGAAAGTAGGGATTTGGGTGCTACACACATTTGTGCAAATGTCTGGGACTCAGTTGGAAAGACATATTTTTCCTGGACCGCAATCCTTGCCCCCTGGCAAAGTTAATGGTGTTAATTTTCAAAGGTTCATTTGGGAAATGTTTGTGATTAATGCCTGCTCATTTACATAATGCAGTATTGTGTAAATAAAGCTGTAGCCTTTTTCTTTCCAAAAGTGGAGGTCTAGTAAGATGATAAAAGCTGGACAAAGTGAGCTTTGGGACCTTAAATTAGGTCACATTGAATTTTAATGCATGAGACCTGTCCTGGTAGATTTTATATGGGTAATGGAGAACTGTAGAATGTAGTCTGTTTACTGTGCAAATCTGCCTTCCAGATTTTTCAATAAACATATTTTCTACACTGAAGAGTGAAGCCAATTCAGTCTCAGGCTGATTTAGAAGTGTTATTAAAGAAAATAAGGATGAGCATCTTCTTAATTCTTACATTAAAATGTAAATAGGGTAATTATGAAATAATAAACTCTTCCCTAAATAAAAAATGCTCAGTTTTAGAGCTCCGTTATGCAGATTATAGCTCTATTACTAAATACTGAGAACATGTGTATGTCACACTTGTGAATTTGCCACCCAGACTCTGGGTTTACTTCCCAGAGTCTAAGCATGATTCAGAAATGTAATTTCTTTCTCCATTACTAACATAGTTTTTGAGTGGTCAAGGAAGCTTTGGTGGTTACATGTACAGGTATGTACAATTTTGCTCATGTCCCTATTACTAAATACAAAGAAAATCATTGACATTGAAGAAGTTCAAGTCCATGGTGAATTCTGAGCAATCTTTCACACAGAAAGAGGAAAGCACACCTCCCTCTACCCAACCCATGACACAAATAAAAAACAAAATGTGTATCACTTTGTTCCATATGATACCTTAATCTCCCTTTGCCATATAAAGTAACATAGTAAAAAGACTTGGAGACTAGGATATGGATATCATTACCTTTTAAAATTGTTAAAAAAAAAAACGTGAGGGAACTCTTTTATGTTCTGATACAAAAATATTCTCCAGGATACACTGTTATGTAAAAAATGAAAGGCCAAAAAAAAGTATAAATATGCTATTTTTTATGTAGAAAGGGGAGGAAATAAGAATATATATTCATACTTTGTTACATTTGCATAAATAAACTGAAGGAAGATGTGTGATATTAAAGTGGTTATAGATAGATAGGGAATGGCATGGAAGGTAGGAGAATAGGGAATGGGCTGAAACAAGCTTTTTCAATGTATCTTTTAAAATTAATTTGCTTTATGAACCATTTAAATTTTACGATTTTTTTCATTAATTTGAAGGATTCATAATTGTCCCAAAGGCCCTACTGTTAACCTGATAGTTAGAATGTTTTGTTCAACCTTGTTTTTCTGTTAACACCTCAAGTAGGCAGATTCTCATTGAACAGTTTTAATATCAAGCAGTTCTCTAACATGACATTCAAGGACTTTATGAAATTTTTCATCTTTTGCAAGATTTTTGCAATTTCACTTTATAATCTAATTGCACATCTATTATGATGTTTTTAACATCTGGCACTGCTGCAGAGGAAACTAATATTGCTAGAACTAAATATGAGGCATGTTTTCAGGTGGTTATTCACTTTGTAAGTGGTGAGTTAAGTAGTTAACATTTTCATTTTATATTCATATAGTTAGACTCTTACCATGTGATTGTATAAATTTGGATAATAACTGCAAAACTATTAAACATATTTTAATTGACTTCAGTATCTATTATTTTCTTGTGAAAGTCCTTTAGTTTATTGTACCTTTAATCTGGTAGCAATACTGCAGTTTTGCAGTTATCTTTATTTTGTTCCATGGAGCAATTTATGTACTAATCTTCCACTACTATCACAATTTTGATTACTATACATTTTACAGTGAGTATTGAAGTCAGAAAGTGTTAGGGCCTCAAAATTTTCTCTATCTTAAAAAAATTATTTGGTTATTCTAGGGATTTCCTTTTCTGTGTACCTAAGAAATGGTTGGGATCTCCTACCAAAAAAAAAAAAAAAAAATCCACCAAAAAACAGCTTTCTGGGATTATGACTGGGGCTTTGCTTGATCTCTAGATCAATTGGTGAGAGAACTGACATCTTAACAATATTGAGACTTCAAATGAATTGATGCCATGCATGTCTTCACTTACTTAGGTAACTTTAATTCTTTTCAAATTGAGCTATAACTGACATTATATTAGTTTCAGGTACATAGCATAATGATTTGACATTTTCATATATTATGAAATGATCACAATTAGTCTAGTGAACATGCAATCACACACATAGTGACAAATCATTTTTTCCTGATATGAGGGCTTTAGATATTTACTTTCACAATTTTAAAAATGAAATAGTTTTATTAATACAGTCATCATGCCTTATGCTACAACCCTGTGACATTCATTTTATAATTAGAAATCTGAACCTTTTGAACATGGAAGTTGAGAAAGATTTTATGAAGTGCCAAAAAATTTTTCACATGACTTTTGACTGAAATTGCATTAATTAAACTTTCATAAATCATGATAAAAATATCTCCTCTTGCCCAACAAATATACAGAATTATCAAAATATCATTTAATGGTATACAGAAATAAAGATTTTTGTTACTTTATTAAACAAAAATCAAAAATTCTGTTATATGCACCTTAGAAAATGGCTCTGAGGGTGGAATAACTCAGGAAATACCACATGTAACATATGGTCTTTATAGTCAGATCTGCATTGGTCATTGGCTTTACTTGGTAATTGGGTATTATGAACATTCGAATATTATTTATTTTGATTTCATGCTACTATATTTTTATCTTTAAAAATTTACTTTCATGAAAGATTGATTGTCTTCCTTTTCTTGTTATCTTTTTTTTAGCAGCATGGTTATGCTGGTTAGATAATATAATTTACAATGCTTTCCCTGTATTTCCTTAGTCTGGCAAAATATAAATTTTATAGTAAATTATTCTCGTGATATTTAATGTAATTTGGAATACACACGGAAACATGATACTTGCTATTAAGAGGAATGGCAATGGTTTTCAGCATTGCATTGCATTTTATTTCAATGCATTTAAAAACTTTTCATATTTTTTGCTATTCAAGTAATTTGAAAAGTATAATTGGTAGAATTAAGTGTAAAACATAAAATGATTACACAGAAAAATCCTTGATTTTTTATATTAACCACTTACTCTATTACTCAAATTTCTAGTCTTGAATCCAAATCCTTTGACATTCTGACAGCATAATAAGCAGGCCACTAAAAGGAGAGTCTGCTAGAGAGTATGTAAAGAAGAAACGTACATGTTCAAAAAATCAGACTTTCAGTTTGACAGACTACAGGGAGCAATGAAAAGGTGATACTCACATCCGAGTTAAATCGGAGCTGACAGACATTACAAGAAATAACTTGTTTCTTCTTTGGGGGAATGGACACTCCAAATGTGTGGTTAATGACTGCTTTTTGCACAGGATCCATCTAAAGAGCAAATGATAAGATAGTCAATTTATAACTTCAGAGGATAGCTATTATATGAGCAAATAAAACTAGCTCTATAATTTCTTAAGGTTTTAAATTTCAGTACCAAACAAAGATAATAAAGAATATCATTCAATATAATTCAAAACTTATTCAAGGATAATAAAAGATAATGACTTTCTTCCAAGAATCAAATACAAAACTGCTTTGAAATCATAACACACCAAATCACAGAATCACCACATCCTAAGAAATCTTCTGTCTATATAAAGAATCTTGAAAAACTTTAAATGAATCATAAAACAAGAAATTCTTAGATGTCAAAATCAGGGTTAAAATTAACTTGCTGGGCCTCCCTGGTGGTGCAAGGGGTTAAGTACCGCACTATGAACCAATGCACAGCCTCTGCAGCACAAATTCTATACCCGGCCGGCCAGGGAGCAGCCCATATGGCGCAGCAGACCTCTCCTGACTCGCCCACTGCTCCCTTCAGCAGTGTGTTTCAGTCTGCCTGCCTGTTCTGTTCCCCACTCTGTCTCTGGTGAATCCTCTCACCCCCCACATCGCTGGCCTGTACCCCAGCTCTTATATGCAAAAATAAATAAATCTTTAAAAAATAATTAACTTGTTAATGTTCTCCCCATAAGAGAAAGTAATACTTAAGATAGTTTCAAATGACCTCAGTTACAGTTATTACATATGTATGTAGATTTATTAATTTTAGATTTATGGTAAAGTCATATATGACAGGCTAACATCACAGCATAGAAAATGATGATCTTTATTTTACTTTATTTATTTATTTTTAAAGATTTATTTATTTATTTGTACAAGCACTGGGTACAGTGGGAGGGTGAGAGAAGCGTGGGAGGATGAGAGAATTCACCAGAGCCAGAGCAGGGAACAGAACAGGCAGACTGACGAAATACACTGCTGAGGGGAGCAGTGGGTGGCAGGAGAGGTCTGTGCGCCATGTGGGACTCTCGCCGGACGGCCAGGGATGGAACCTGCACTGCAGAGGCTGCAGGCAGCTTCGCAGCCCAGCACTCAACCACTGTGCCACCAGGGGAGGCCCTGATCTTTATTTTAAAACAATTTATTGCTTTTCATGTACTACAGATTGAAATTCATTTTGCTGGAAATGCACATCACAATCGTACACTCAAATGCCCATAACAGATTTATTAACATACTGCTCTTGTTTACATATTGATCAAAGTTTTCACTTGTAACCTGTGATTCTCCTCCCATTGTCTGGCATATATTTAGAGAAATATACAGTGATAAAAGTACTCAACCATAGCACAAAGCCATTAAAACAATTGGAAAAAGAAAGCACACTATCTGCAAAGCTTATAAAAAGTGAGACACAGCAGTGATTCTCTTGTGTACTCTGGATAATAATCTTCAGCATTAACATCAGACAACTGGCAGTTCAAAAAACAATGCAGATGATGAACAAAGCATTACTTATAAACAGATGTAATATGAACAAGGGCATATTCACTGACACCATCGTGTAGAAAGTCTCCTGAGGTTAGAGCTTAGGACTGGATTAAGACTGGATGATATTTGGTAGGGGAGAGAAATGAATACTATGCCTGATCATGAGTATAAATCAGCAAATTGCAAAGTGAGCAATTGAATGAACTGAAAAACATTCGGAGGAAGGGTCATTACAAAATTCATCAAATAGAAAAGCAGCCTATTTTTTGTATAAGTTTAAGAGAGATGATGATAGGACAGTCATCCACTACAAAGAACAGTTTTGTAGTTTAAGACCACATTCTAAAATGTGAAGAGGGGAGCTTTCTGGAGTCACGGAAATATTCTATGTCCTTACTATGGTGGTGACTACACACATTTATACAGTGTTAAAACTCACAGAATTAAACACAGCTCCAACAAAGTCCATTTTGTATATGAGAAGTTAAAAAGTAAAAAACTCTTAAGATGATGATGTTTAACTATTAAATGTAAAATATCTTTAATGGAAAATCTGGGGATTTTTTTTTTGTTCATGCTCATAATTGTATTAAACTTTATTTAAAGAGAATTAAAAAACAAAACAAGACAAACACAACCTTTGTGGGCAAAGAAAATCTCAACGGTCAGTAATATAAACCCCTAGTTCACTTTCTTATTTCCTCATGGGTACATACACTTAAGTCTCAACCATTCATTTGTAAAACTTGAAAGCATACTTTCTGATTGTTACTAGAGATGGCAATTTGGACAGATTTAAAAATAAAATTGCTTAATATATTGGCAGGACAAAAAAATGACACTTTTGCAAAGTTAAAAAATAAGAACATTTTATTGAGATACTTTCAGTGCTTGGACTCCAAAAAATACATCTTGTGATATCTGAACTACATTAAAACAATCATATAAATATTTCCCGATACCAGCTTTCTGAATGCCTTTCCTTATTTTGCGATGCCCAAATATTATTGTGCTATTATGTACTTAGTGTTTTTCTCAAAATCAAATTAAAATGGAGTTTAAAAATGAAGTAATAGTCATAAATTCACAGTTTTAATGTATTTTCTTCCTGGTTACTCATTTCAAAAAATATACTGAAAGTTAACATTAAAAATGAAAATATTCATCATCTAACATAAATGTGCACATCCCAGTTGTTCCCATACCACAATAAAGGAAGAGATAAAAGATACATCTATAAAATATCTAGTTCCAAATTTTTAGTAATATCTAAACTAAATATCTGTTGACAGCTCCACCATGACCCTTTATAAAAATTTCCTTTAAATTCTTGAAATTGTGAGCCATCTACTTAATTTTTCAAATAAATCCAGATACAACTTGATTCTAGTAAAAAACACATTTGCAGCATATCAGCCTGTAAATATATCTTCTTATATTCCTAAGGCTGAAAGCTGTCTGTCTGGAAAAGTGAACTGTATGTGCTGGGGAGTAATACGGGGAAGTTTGGGGGTGGTGTTGGACATGCTGGAGGACTTCAAATGCCAAAAAAGGTGAGTTTCCAGCCATCTGTTCTCTGAAAATCAAACTAAGAAGGTTCTTTCAAGGAACTTTGATTAAGATTGTCTTCTTTACTTTACATTCCTAATTCTATTAGTCTTCATAAAATCAACTAAATGAATATTTCTTTTACGTCATTTCTTCAACAGTCATTACCTCTTATTGCCTTTCTATTCTTTGAATGACTTACCACTAATCATAAGAAAATTTTAATTCTTTCTCCATGTTTTTCACTTGGGACAGACTTTCTCTATTTTCCATTTGATTTACTATTTTCCTATACATATTCTTGGAAAGTTCCATTCCCCCCAACCTCCATCTAATTCTTCTTTTTCTTCCTCTGCTATTTACTTCAGAATTGTATAAATACATGTCTAAATCAACTATTATTTTAGGGAATATGATTTTTCTAAAAGAAAATGTTAATTGGTATTAAAAAAAAGAATGCTCCACTTGCCAATTCACCTGATACCTTAAAATAGACAACTGTTTAGCTGATATTTTGAATATTTCCCATTTAACACAGTAACAACAGATTCCTGAGGTACTTAAATGGGATTCAGATTTGGTAATAATATAAAGGTTTTCAGAGCTCTCTCTTAAAGCTTACAATGGTAATCATGAATTTTTTAATATTTATAAAATACCCTCCAAATTAGATGAAAATAATAGTGTTGTTAAACTTATATCAATTCAAAATCCCCCCCCACAAAAGTAATGTCAGTTCTCTGAAATCATAATGAGTTATGTGCAATTAAATCAATAAATCTTTTATTCAATAACCAATTTTCAGGAGGAATAAAATGTTCAAAATGAATAAAAATATTCTCATTAATCCTAAAATGTGATAGATGCAAGTAATTCAGTTTGGTATAGTAAAAACTGTATCTATTTCATCCATTCTACCTATTTATTTAGAACACTCAGGAAAATTATTGGAGGTATTGCAAGATAAAATCTTATTTTTTATAATATCAATTGGCATATAGCCATTTGATCATTAAAAATGGACAAGTATGTTAAATTTCTTCATTAAAATATTTATATTACTTTTAAATGAACAAATGCCTTGTAAAATAATTATTAAATTATGTTATGTTAATTCACATTGCACAGGAAAACTGTCTAGAATTGAGAAAATTATGATTCTTTGGTAAATAAGGTTAAAGAAGCTTTTTTAAAGGGAAAAATAACTACATGTAATGTTAACTACCAATATTCCTTACCTGCCACAATTTATTGGTTCCTAATAAGAATCTTCTTTTCTAAAAAAAGTATAAGTTAGACCGAATCATCTGGAATTTTGAGGCTAGCTAGCACATTTACAAAAATCCATTTTACTTGTTCAACTCTGATTAAAAAGCCTGAAATGCTTACTAACTAAAAAGTACTGAGAGTTAACACTTGAAGCTTTTTCTAATGAGACTATGTAGAAATGAAAAGCAAAACCTATTAGTGCAATTAACTGGTTGGTAATAAAAATGAAATACAGGGTTGTGGCTGCTACCAGGAATGGAAGAGATAATTGGAGGCTATGTATGGACAAATTAACTATTATATTATAGTACTTATAAAATAAATTAATGAAGCCAGCCTTACCACATCATCTACTATATTTTCAATATCAAAATAAGAATAAGCAAATCTCTTTGGTGTGTTCACTGATTATCGAATCACAAATCTGTGTGAATCTTTAAAAAGATCATTACTTTTACTGAGTATGCCAAAAAAGTAATTTACACTTGCACAGTGTAAGCAATCATATAAAAGTATGCAGCTGCAAATAAAACCTAGCCACAGGGAAAAGAAACACACTGCAGCATTTCACTGAATGTTGGATGAATGCTGTGGGAAGTGAGAATATAAGGAAGGGGCTATATGATCAAATGACTTAAACTTAGATGTTATTTAGATTCCAGATAATTTTTCTGGTTGGGACTTTAGGCAAACAAAGTGGGATTACACACTCTCAACTACCTCACTAATTTCCTGTA